CCTCAATGATTCCATGATTCCGAGCGTAGTGGACACCTGACCCCCTCTCCCTCGGTCCCTGCTCTGCTCCCCCCAGAAGCCGCAGCCCAGCCCGGGCGGGCAGTCGTCCTGCAGCAGTGACCACTCGCCCCTGGGCAGCACCACCAACAACGACAGCGGCGTGGAGATGGCAGGGAACGCTGGTGGCAGCTACGAGGACCTGTCCACGCTGGAGGATGTGGTGCCCGGGGAGCCCATGGGCACCTCGGGGCTCATGGCCCTCCACAAGCTGGAGAACCTTCGCATCGACAAACTGAAGCAGCTGAGGAAACCCGCGGCTTCCAAGGGCCTGAACCTGCCACCCATCCCTGGAGCCGGTGAGCCCGGGGTGCCCTCCCACTGGGATGAGGGAGCCATCCCATGGGAACTGTGTGGAGGGCTCTGGTGGGGGGCACCCAGAGCTTTCCAAGCGTTCCTGTTATTGGTGGTGGACCCCAGAGTCTGGACTGTGCTCTGGGGAGAACTTAGAGCCCCTTCTGGTACCTAAAAGGGCTCCAGGAGAGCTGGGAAAGGACTTTGGATGAGAGCCTGGAGCACCAGGACAAGGGGGAGTGGCTTCCCACTGCCAGAGGGGAGGGTGAGATGGGATATTAGAGACAAGTTCCTCCCTGTGAGGGTGGTGAGACCCTGGCATGGTTTGCCCAGAGAAGCTGTGGCTGCCACATCCCTGGGAGTGTTCAAGGTCTGGTTGGAACAACCTGGGCTAGTGGAAGGTGTCCCTGCCCCCAGCAGGGGGTGGAACTGGATGGTCTTTAGGATCCCTCCCAACCCAAACCATTCCAGGATTCAACGATCTTTCCACCCTAAATGAGCCTCTGCCCCTCTTTGTTGCCTGCACTGGAACCTTCTCCCTGTCCTCGCAGGGTCTGACCAGGGAAGAGCCACATCCCTCGTGGTAACTCCTCCTTCTCTCCCCCAGGCCTGCCCGGGGAGGTGCCCGGGCTCCCGGTGCCCCCCCCGGCCTCTCACCGGCGCATCGCGGAGCTGTCGGCGGCGGAGCTGGGGCTGGTGGCCCTGGGCGAGCGCCGGAGCAGCGGCACCAGCACCGTCAGCTCGGCCTACACCGTGAGCCGCCGCTCGTCCCTGGTGTCCCCGTACCCGCCGTGCCCGGCCGAGGGGGCGGCGATGCCCGGCGGGACGTGCCCGGCCGACGGCTACGACCCCACGGCCTCTCCCGACGAGTCGCGGCGCTCCAGCGGCGCCAGCCTGTGCGGGGCCCTGCCGGGGGTGGGCAACCTCACCCCTGCCCAGCGCTACCGCCTCAAGGCCAAATACGCCGCGGCCACGGGCGGGCCCCCCCCGACCCCTCTGCCCGGCGTGGAGCGGGTGGCCCCGGGCGGCCCCGGCGCTGTGCCCACGGGATACCCCGCGCCCGCCGGGCCCCGCTGTGTGCCCAATGGGCTGCCGCGAAGGCACAGCTCCAACGACCACCCCGGCTACCCGGGCAGCGTGCCCCCTCGCCTGGTGCCCCGGCACGGCGTCCGGCGGGCGAGCGACCCCGCCCGGACCGTGGCCAAGCCTCCGGCCGTGCCCAGGGTGCAGCGGTTTAAGAGCGTGGGGAACGTGAGCGCGCCGGGCGCGGGCAGGACGGCGCTGCAGCCCCTGGGCGGCTCCGAGGCCAACCTGCAGCGCCACGGCTTCTCCCCCCGGCCCCCCAGCATCACCGAGAACGTCTTCCTGGAGAGCGTGGGGGGCCCCGGGCCCGGCCTGCTGGAGATGGAGCAGTACCTGAGCTATCCCGAGGAAAGCTTCCCGTGCCCGGGCGTGGAGCTCCAGGGTGGCATCTACGGCGCTCAGCGGACCATGGGGGGCACGCACGGGGACGTGGAGGAGGGGCTGCTGCAGCCCGAGTTCTCCCTCCCCCAGTGCCAGATGAACCAGCACTTCCCCAGTTTGCCAGCTGGGAATGGGGCCGTGCCAGTGCCTTGGGAAGGACCCGCCCCAGGCACGCTGGACATGAGCTCCGGGCAAAGCGTCGGCGCCGCTGCCACCATGTCCGGGCCACACTGTCCCCATCAGAGCACCGAGTACCCCCACGCCGGTTCCTGTGGGCAGCATCCCAAACTGGCGAGCTCGTGCCAGGACGGCGGATTTCCCGGGGGGCACCGATCTTACCGCCTGCAGATCAAATCCGAGCAGCGATACCCGGCGCCCGCCCCAGCACTTGCTCCCTGCCCCGGTGCCAAACTGGCCGGGCCCCCGCCGCCCCCCCCGGCCTTTGGCCATGCCATGGACGTGGGGCCGGGCGGGTACCCCCCTGCGGGACCGGCGCCGGGCGGGTACATGGGCATCGCCAGCCCGGGCGCCCGCAGAGCCCAGACCCCCACCCTGCAGACCAAAGAAGTGATGGTCCGGAGCTACGTGGAGGCCCAGCAGGCGCTGATGTGGGGGGAGCAGCCCCCCTCCAAGGGAGGGGCAGCTGGCACGGGGCTGGGCGGCGAGCCCGGGCAGTGCCAGGCCATGCCGGCGCCGCCGTACCTCAGCCCCAGGTACTGCGGGTACCAACCCAAACCCGATCACCTGCAGGGCCTGGCGGAGCCCCAGCACCTCCTGAGCCCCCCGTGCTTCAACCCCGAGATGGTCCCACACCCTCCAGGTGGCCCGAAGCCGCCGGGTCACCCGACCGGCCTGAGTTACAGCCTGGCACAGCCGGGGCCCGGCTACGACGGGGTGGACACCAACTCCCGGCACCTGCTGCGCTTTCCCCCCGCCCGCCCCGTGCCCGAGGGGCCTGGGAACCCCCCGGGGTACTACCCAGGCCAGAGCACCCACGGGCAGGCGGGCAAAGGCGGGCACAAGCTGCTGGGCCACGTGGCAGCGAGCTGTGGGGGTCCCGGGCACTACGGCGGGGGCTCGGAGGGACTCAAAGGCACCTCCTGTTACTACCTGGACTCGGGGGAGCAGGTGTCCAACAGCCTCGACTCCCTGGACCTGGAGAACACGCACCTTGACTTTGCTGCCATCGTGGAGGACGAGGAGCCCCCCCCGGCGCTGCCCGGCCCCCCCAGCCCGGCCGGGGGGCTCCTGCTGCCCTCGCCCGGGGGTGCCAACATGGCAGTGGGGGACATGAGCTCCATGCTGAGCACGTTGGCAGGGGAGAGCCACTTCCTCAACTCCCTGTCCTGAAACCAGGGGTACCTGCCCTCAGGTGGCACCTCCGTGACCTGGGGGGGTCCCAAC